CACACACCCTGGGGTGGGGTTTGTGACTCCTCAGTGGGCTCCCAAGACAGGCTGCTTTGCTTCTTTTTTTGTAGAGCAAGAGTTTGCAAGTGAGTGCCAGAGCAGGTACCTGCCCAGAGTTTACTGCTGGATTTCCTCTATACTGGGAAAGAAATGTGAAATTTTTAGAAAGAATTCATTCTGCTTACAGAAAGAAGCCTTCTAAATCTAACACCCTTGATCGTGGACACAAAGATAGCAGGTGTTTGCCATGAAAAACTCAATGGAATAAAGAATGGCAACACAGCCCACTTTGATCTCCTAAACAAACCTTTTTCATTTTTTAGTTTGCAGCTAGCTGCACAAGGAATCAAAAGCTATCTCACTACTTGCCTCACCTGATTTGTGAAATGAATTGTTCACCAAAACAACATATCAGTTGCATATCAATAATGGTTACTAGAGAGAAGGGTGGTTTCTTTTTTTCCCCCACTCCAGATATAATCTCTAAGCTATAACACAAGTCCCTGGCAGTTCATGTTCCCACCTACTGCTAATACTGAAACAGTTCTCTCAGGGCAATCATAGTGTGTGCACGCCTTTTCTTTCCTAGGTGAAATAGGAGCTATTCAATTGATCTTTTAGTGATAAAAAACAAAAAAAAAGTTATGAAAAATAAATCTTATCTGCATGCTCACATTCTTGTATTCAGACTAGGAAGGAATAAACATCTTGTCCCACAAGCAGAGCTCATGTTCCATGGCTCACATTCACATGATCATTTTTTTCAGCCTAGTTGGTGGAGCTGGACATCAGGAGTAAAGCAGGGAGAAGAAATCAGGGCATGCCCTCCCACCCCTGGTCCCCAGCTCCTGTGCTGTGATTGCCAGCCCAGGGTTTGTAATTGCTGATCACAACCCCCATGGCAGCCTCCACCAGCAGGGGCAAAGGAGATCAAAGGAAAAGTCCTTAGACAGAAAACGAGGGTTGTAAAGGTCTTGGTGCTCCATTATTATCTGAATAGAAGACCTGAGAGGAGGCTTCTTCTCCCAGGTGACAGGGATAGGACAAGAGGAAATGGCCTCAAGGTACACCGGGGAGGTTTAGATTGGAGATTGTGAAGGATTTCTTCACTGAAAGGCATTCAGGCATTGGAAGAGGCTGCCCAGGGAAGCTGTGGAGTCACCATCCCTGCAGGTATTTAAAATGCATGTGGCACCTGGGGACAGGGTTTAGTGGTAGACATGACAGTGCTGGGTTAATGGCTGGACTTAATGGTCTTAGAGGTCTTTTCCAAAATAAACTGTTCTATTATTCTCTGATTCTATACTTTTCAATAAATCAGCTCCAGCTAGTTTCTTTTCACCATTCACATTCTAGAAATCTTGCCAATTTTTAGAGAATATACTATTCAATTAATAAGAAATCAGGATGTTTTGAATTTATATAAATCTTCTGATTTGTTTGGGCTATTTTTAGGAACTTAAGGTCACAATTCATGTAAAACCTCCTTCTAATATTATCTCTTATTCACAGCTGGAAGAACTGACTGTTCACAGATTCAGTGACTTGCCAAAAGCTGCCAGTGAAACATCCTCAGTATATGGCTCCTGACTTCAATTCAGTCAGCTGCAATTTTAAGGTAAAAATCCTTAACTTCACCTGTAATTTACTGACACCTGATGACATTTATTAGTGAAGAACATTAGGACTAAGATCTCCTCTCCACCAAAAAAAAACCAAAAAACCCAAAACCTGGCAGTATATTTTAAACAAAATTTGAAATTAAAAACTATAAAATAAATGTTATGATTATTGACTTGCATTATTGACTGGAGTTTTCATACTTGCTTGCAAAGGAGAATGCAAGTCTGAGTGCACCTTGAGCAAATCATTTCAAGACTTAAGACCTGCAAGTCTTCCCAAAGGCACAACAGGAGATCTTTGCAGAAGTTTCTTTCTGCAGAAGACATTCCTCTGCTTGGCTCCGCTCACAGAGCTGGGACAGCCATCTCAGCCAACCTTTGCTCCTGCCAGCTTCAGAAGCCTGATGTGATTTCCACTGAAAGGGATCACTAAACTTCCAGCAGCAACTGGAAGAAGCCTCCAGGAAAACACCAAATAAAATGAAGCACATTATGAAGAAAATTGCCAGAATGAGTTTGTGTCCAAAGAGGACCAATTTTCAACACGTCCATTTTCCTGTATTTTTCCTACTGCACCTACATATGCTACAAAAAATTAAAAAAAATAAAAAAAAATGCTCCCACTTCCTCAATTACAGTTCAGTGATTTCTGTAGATGCTGTCTCCCCCTTTCCTCACTCCCCAAACTTGAGCTCTCAAACTCCAAAACATCTTTGTAACAGTTGGTAGTGCTGAATATAAAGTGAGCAGCACCCAGTGAGGACCCAACATTCCTGTTTTTACACTCACCCAGCCATGGAAACACCTGCAGGAATCAGTCTCTAAAGAGGCAGTTTTAAAACAAAAATGCTCTACTACATTTCCTTGCAATGGAAAAGAGGGTTGGGAAGCGTGGAAGGAGATATTTCAGTATAATAGGAGACAATACATTACTTAAGATTAAGTAATTCTTACATTACTTAAGAATGTAAGACTTACATTCTTACAGTTATGTAAGAATGACTGGGGAATTTGGCATTGTCTGAGGGCTGAAATAGCCCAGTACCACATGTGTCATTCAGGTGTGGTGGTACAGACAAGATGTTGATACAATGTAAGATTTTTTTTTTTTTAAAGTTTTTGCTCCTCATTGTAAGAAATGGGAAGAATTGAAGAATGGTCTTTAAACAGGAGGAATTGTGATCACCCAGCAGTGATTAATCAAAACAAGAAGAAAGCATTACAATATGACAAATTGAAATAACCTTGGGAGCCAAGATAATTATGTAACAAATCTCAAGAATACATTTTAGCAAGAAAGCTATCACATTCTGGAAACAAAAGCACTCTTTTAGTCCTATTATTTTCAGTATCATAATTTTCAGAATCAAAAGCTAGCTCTGGCATGTAGCAAAGATGTTTGCCTTAAAATTGCATGAAATGCAAGAAGAAGAAAAGACTTATGTATATGTATAGGTGCTATAGACATACTCACCCACACATTGTCTGGGGCTCTGAGCTCATAAAAACCTTCCCACAGACCAAAAAAATTAACTAATCCTTCCACCTCATTCTTCCTCTGTTGGGTCCCCACTGGGAAGGTTTTCTTCCACTGTAGTAACATGAGTCAGAGTAACATGAGTCAGATACTTCCCCTGCAATGAGTCCTCTATCAGATGTGCTATTCCAACCCAAAGACTCATTCATGGCACAGGTCTCACTCAAATTCAAGAGACAATCACTCAAATAAGAGAGAATATTATTTTCTCTTAAAATGAACAAGATTTAGCCCCAAACTGATCCTGGGAGAGAGAGGCACTGTCATCTACCGTTTAAAAGTCAAAATACCTGGTTTCCTTCCTTTGCTCCACAATGTGTTGAGGAGTGTCTTTCTGCAAGTTACTTGGAGTAATTCTCCACAAAACCAGATGACATTCATCAGTTGCTGGGCTGCCCATTCCTATGCTCAGAATTGGACTCTTCTCCATTTCACCAGAAAGGATGACAAAACATCCAAAACTGCCTCTTATTAGAAGCAATAGAACACAATGCACTCATTGAGGATGCACAGTGAATCTAACACACATACCCAGGAGTTTCTTTTGCAATAATATTCTATAAACACTTCATTGATATAAAGTCTATCTTCCTGTATTTGATATGTCTAAGTGGAAGTTACTCAGGACACTGTCCCAGCTGTCCAGACAATAGTATTTTTACATTCAGAATAGCAGCATCTTAATGGAAAATATGTATGATAGTTGGTAGGATTGAGAATTTAGTTAAAACTACTAAACTACTAAAAATACTAAATGCCTACTCTTTAAGAAAAAGAAAGTTATATAGTTTGAAGTGGAATAAACCTTGCAATTGCCTGCCTGACCTATTTGGCAACACTTCTCCCTATTATTTTATCAATTAGTATCCATACAAACTCCCCCAAAACAGATGTCTAAACAGTCATTCATCAAAGACAAAAAGGAGATTCAGGCATGCACCTAAAATAATTCTGGTTGCTAATTGAGCATATTGAGTAACACAGATACATTTGCAGGTGCATCTTCCTGAGAATGATCCCATTAGTGTCCACACTGCACAGATGGGCTGTGTTATTTTAAGGTTTTAATCAAAATACATGCAAACAGGCACAGCACCATGTGCATGCTAATGCTGTGAAGTGTCAGCAGTCACTACATTCTTTCAAGAACTCTCGCTATGTAAAAACTCAGAAGAGAAGGAACTGATGAATTAGGCACTTTAGAGGAAGGCTTAGAGGTTACAGCTAAAAGGTGACACACAGCAATTCATAATAAATGTGGAGAAAACATCTTGTTAACACGGCAGTGTATTCCCACATACTGACAGGAACTGCATCAACACAAAGACAGAATATAAGAAGGTGTAAGGTCATCAAACTGCCAAGGTATTTATATTAGAAGAACCAACCATGAAAACAGTGATTATAGTGTAATCTTGACATCTGTCAACCTCCTGTCAATGGCTCTCCTCAGTGAAGGCATTACACATCCCTCAGCCACTGCTTTATCACCTGCAGTGAAGTTTTCTGCATCTGCTACTCCCAGTTTGAGGGCGCACCAGATCTGATTCAGGTGAGCAACTCACCTACCAGACTCTGGTCTTTGTTAATTAAATGAGAAATAAATAAATGCATCTTGAGAATAATGGAACACAGTTCCTCCTATATTTCCTTTGTAAAAGACAGACCCTGTTCCTGCATGTTTGCATAGTTACAAAAAAAAAATAAAAAAAATAGTCCTCTGAATTTGATACTCCTTCCTGCTGGGGGGGAGGAAATGAAAATAAGACATAGCAGAGGTTGTGTTCAGTTACAGTGCCCCGGGTGCCAGGTTTGCAAACCCAGCAATGTCCTCTTACCTGCACAGACACGGCACCACCTGAAGCGGTACCTGGAGCCCGGCTCCTGACCCGGGTGCGCCCTGCGGAGCGGCCAGCTGGGATGGACGGGGCGGTGATGGGCGAGCACAGACAGACACACGGACACACGACACGGACAGACACACTGCCCCGAGCCCCGCTGCGCGCACACACGCTCACAGGGACATGTCAGTGATGGGGACAGGCAAAACGCTGCATCCCCTGTACACCCACCCCTGGAGGAAGAGGAGAGGAAGAGAGGAGAGGAAGAGAGGAGAGGAAGAGAGGAGAGGAAGAGAGGAGAGGAAGAGAGGAAGAGGAGAGGAAGAGGAGAGGAAGAGGAGAGGAAGAGGAGAGGGATGGAGCGGAGGGCAGC